ATTAGGACAACCTCGTCAACACTGCCATCTGGCGGTGTGATTCACCACCACCAACACAAACACTGCCATCTACCGGTGTGATTCACCACCAAGAACACCAACGCTGCCATCTAGCGGTGGGATTCACCACCAAGAACACCAACGCTGCCATCTACCGGTGTGATTCACCACCAAGAACACCAACGCTGCCATCTAGCGGTGGGATTCACCACCAAGAACACCAACGCTGCCATCTAGCGGTGTGATTCACCACCAAGAACACCAACGCTGCCATCTAGCGGTGTGATTCACCACCAACAACACCAACACTGCCATCTAGCGGTGTGATTCACCACCAAGAACACCAACGCTGCCATCTAGCGGTGTGATTCACCACCAACAACACCAACACTGCCATCTAGCGGTGTGATTCACCACCAAGAACACCAACGCTGCCATCTAGCGGTGTGATTCACCACCAACAACACCAACACTGCCATCTAGCGGTGTGATTCACCACCAAGAACACCAACGCTGCCATCTAGCGGTGTGATTCACCACCAAGAACACCAACGCTGCCATCTAGCGGTGGGATTCACCACCAACAACACCAACACAGCCATCTAGCGGTGTGATTCACCACCACTAACACCAAATAATACAAATACAAATAATCATGATAATAATAACAATACAACAATTACATTTTCAGGGTCGAATGTAAAATAAAAAATAAAAAATAACATTTTAGCTTGCATAAAAGAGTTGCAATTGAATTAGAGCATTGCACGTGCACAAAAAACGGGACAGAGTAGGGTGGACTTCCATGATCAGTGTTTGGTGTGTGTGTGTGTGTGTGTGTATGTGTGTGTGTGTGTGTGTGTATGTGTGTGTGTGTGTGTGTGTGTGTGTGTGTGTGTGTGTGTGTGTGTGTGTGTGTGTGTGTGTGTGTGTGTGTGTGTGTGTGTGACCCAAGGACAACCTCAGACCATTGGCCTTGCTGCCTTCCTGGCATGAAAGAGAAAAAGAGAGAGAGAGAGAGAGAGAGAGAGAGAGAGAGAGAGAGAGAGAGAGAGAGAGAGAGAGAGAGAGAGAGAGAGAGAGAGAGAGAGAGAGAGAGAGAAACAGGTGCAAAGAGACTGGCTGTGAGAGAGGGTATATGAGGACAAGGAGCTGGGATATGAGGACAAGGAGTTGGGATATGAGGACAAGGAGCTCGGATATAAGGACGAAGTGAAGAAATGATGCCAAATCACTGGGACCATCGGAAATCGAACACCGACTCTGGAAGAAGCGATGCCGTCACTTTACCGACTAGACCAAGAGAATCATTAAGATGCTGCTGAGAAAACATAGACGACATAGACCACGGCGCAACAAGAGGAAACTATTGACCACAATCCTATATTGAGCTAGGATAGCTAGGATATAAGGGGATCTAGGATGGCTGGGATGTGATGGGGGCTAGGATATGAGAGGATTTAGGATGACTTGGATTTGCTGTGAGCTAGGATGGCTAGGATATGAGGGGATCTAGGATGACTAGAGTATGAGGGGTGGAGTTCATTCCTGCGACCGGATCCATTTACCGGGAGGGGCGTGTGGGAAAGGTGGGGTGGGGGGGGGGGGAAGGGCCGCGCCCAACCGCAGTTGGGAGTGGGAAGGTCGCAGCCACTAACCCGAGACAGTGATTGGCACTTGTACACCTGCTAAGGGAGTCATAGCACGCCTTCGGCATACCTGCGAGAGAGAGAGAGAGAGAGAGAGAGAGAGAGAGAGAGAGAGAGAGAGAGAGAGAGAGAGAGAGAGAGAGAGAGAGAGAGAGAGAGAGAGAGAGAGAGAGAGAGAGAGGTTTGTCAATGGTGCTTGTGCTTCAAGGACCTTTGTATGTATTGATTACTGTGTGTGTGTGTATGTGCTTTGTCTGACTATGTACACACACACGTACACAGCCCAGTAGGCTCAGGGATATGTACACCAGTTGATTGACAGTTGAGAGGCGGGACCAAAGAACCAGAGCTCAACCCCCGCAAGCACAACTAAATGAGTTTCTTCACACACACACACAAGGGGACACAGGTGGAAACTGAGCGCCCAAACGAGCCACAGAGATATTAGAAAGAACTTTTTTAGTGTCAGAGTGGTTGACAAATGGAATGCATTAGGCAGTGATGTGGTGGAGGCTGACTCCATACACAGTTTCAAGTGTAGATATGATAGAGCCCAATAGGCTCAGGAACCTGTACACCAGTTGATTGACGGTTGAGAGGTGGTACCAAAGAGCCAGAACTCAACCCCGGCAAGCACAACTAGGCGAGTTCACACACACATACACGCGCACGCACGCACACACACACACACACTATAAATAAAGAAAGATAAGAAAGATCTGATAAAGAAAGAGATCTAGGAGTGGTTCTAGATAGAAAACTATCACCTGAGGACCACATTAAGAATATTGTGCAAGGAGCCTATGCAATGCTTTCTAACTTCAGAATTGCATTTAAATACATGGATGGCGATATACTAAAGAAATTGTTCATGACTTTTGTTAGGCCAAAGCTAGAATATGCAGCTGTTGTGTGGTGCCCATATCTTAAGAAGCACATCAACAAACTGGAAAAGGTGCAAAGACATGCTACTAAGTGGCTCCCAGAACTGAAGGGCAAGAGCTACAAGGAGAGGTTAGAAGCATTAAATATGCCAAAACTAGAAGACAGAAGAAAAAGAGGTGATATGATCACTACGTACAAAATAGTAACAGGAATTGATAAAATCGACAGGGAAGACTTCCTGAGACCTGGAACTTCAAGAACAAGAGGCCATAGATTTAAACTAGCTAAACACAGATGCCGAAGAAATATAAGAAAATTCACCTTCGCAAATAGAGTGGTAGACGGTTGGAACAAGTTAAGTGAGAAGGTGGTGGAGGCCAAGACCGTCAGTAGTTTCAAAGCGTTATATGACAAAGAGTGCTGGGAAGACGGGACACCACGAGCGTAGCTCTCATCCTGTAACTACACTTAGGTAATTACACTTAGGTAATTACACACCCTTCAACCTGTTGATCGACAGCTGAGAGGCGGGACCAAAGAGCCAGAGCTCAACCCCCGCAAAGACAACTAGGTGAGTACAACACCCAGCTCAACCTAACCTAGATATAACCCGTCAACATAAACAAACCCACAGGTGCCACATATCAGCCCCCACTTACAGGGTTACCACCTTTTAGACAGGGTAACGGTAGAAATTTGGCACCACCGCCACTCAATAACAAAAGGGCGTCGACACAATATTTATAATGCTCATGGCAGAGCGCATTATGTCAGCAAACACTGGGTAAATAACCACTGGGGTACTGCCCACTGTTTGGTTTTTGTGGAGCGCTATTTTCACCGGTAATTGTCAATTTTCCACAGGTTTTTGTGCTGTGTGTTGGCGTCTACTCTCGATAATTGATGGTAATAGTTGATTGTTTAGGGTTGAGGCTCTGTGCATCATTGCTGGGTTTTGGTTTTTGGTGATTGTGGTAGCTGGTGGTGGTACATGGTGATTGTGGTAGTGGGAGGTGGTGATGATGATTGGTAGTGGTGGTGGTAGTGGGTATAGTGATTGTAATAGTGATTAATAGTGGGGATTGTGACAGTGGATTGTGCTATTGATGGTAGGGAGATCTGCTGATTGTAGTGGTTACGTTAAGGTTAGAGGAGGGTTAGGTGGCCTTATGGGTTATCTTGAGATGATTTCGGGGCTTTAGTGTCCCCGCGGCCCGGTCCTCGACCAGGCCTCCACCCCCAGGAAGCAGCCCGTGACAGCTGACTAACACCCAGGTACCTATTTTACTGCTAGGTAACAGGGGCATAGGGTGAAAGAAACTCTGCCCATTGTTTCTCGCTGGCGCCCGGGATCGAACCCGGGACCACAGGATCACAAGTCCAGCGTGCTGTCCGCTCGGCTCCCCGATAGTGTAATGATAGTGTTGACGGCCTTTACAGTGAGTTTGTGGGTAGTGAAGGTACTCACCTAGTATTCACCTAGTTGTGCTTGCCGGGGGTTGAGCTCTGCTCTTTCGGCCCGCCTCTCAACTGTCAATCAACTGTAACTAACTACTAACTAATTGTTTTCCAAACACTTACATCCCCAGGAAGCAGCCCGTAACAGCTGTCTAACTCCCAGGTACCTATTTACTGCTAGGTAACAGGGGGCATCAGGGTGATAGAAACTCTGCCTATTTTGTTTCTGCCATCACCGGGGATAGAACCCGGACCGTAGGATTACGAGTCCAGAGCGCTGTCCACTCGGCTATCAGGTCCCCAGGTGTGTGTGTGTGTGTGAGTGTGTACTCACCTGGATGAGTCAAGTACTCACCCCAAACACTCACGTTACCTGGAATTATGTCATGAATAAGTAGTGATTCAAAGGGGAAAAGAATGATGGCTGAGTAAGTAATGAATAACACAGTAGTCGTAGCCAGTACAAAGGGAACGAGGGGGAGAAGGAGAAGGGGGGGGGGCCGCTGAGTCCTGGAAGGTGGGGGGGGGTGTTCTGGAAGGGGGGGGGGGTGTTCTGGAAAGTGGGGGGTAGGTGTTCTGGAAGGGGCTTGGGAGAAGGAGGGCCTCTAGGTATACCTTATGACCAACCACACCACTAATTGGGTGATTCCAGAGTGCCATCAAACGCTTGGCACTTCAACAGTGACAGTACACCAATGCCTCTACACCAGTGCGACCACAATACATTCAGCAGTGAAAATACAATGATACAATCACCAACTGTATCGCTGATACAATCGGTGACTGTATCAACGACAATCACGTAACTGTTACATTCCAGAGGACCCAAAACAGAAAACGGAGACATGACGTCAATTTCAGCGAGTCGCTATACCATTTTCTAGTACGACACATTTTTACTCCCTTAGGTAAAGTATACGTCAAAAATGCGACGTTCTAGTAGCAGGACGGGTTGTATTACAACCATCATAGTCTCTCATCAATGCTTCTTCTTCCTCCTGCAGATGACCCGCTTACGTCCGCTCCTGCTGGTGGCGGCGGCGTTGGGGACGCTTCCCGCCCTTTCGTCAGGTGAGTCTTCAAATCCGTTTTCTTCGATCTCACACTTCGTAAACAAAGATAACAGCCAGATTCACGAAGCACTTACGAACGTGTACATCTTTTCTCAATCTTTGGCGGCTTTGTTTATAATTATTAAACAGTTAATGAGCTCCGAAGCACCAGGAGGCTGTTTATAACAATAACAACAGTTGATTGGCAAGTTTTCATGCTTAAACTGTTTAAAAAGTTAGGCAAATCAGGACCCGGATTCACGAAGCAGTTACGCAAGTACTTACGAACGTGTACATCTTTTCTCAATCTTTGACGGCTTTGGTTACATTTATTAAACAGTTTACAAGCATGAAAACTTGCCAATCAACTGTTGTTATTGTTATAAACAGCCTCCTGGTGCTTCGGAGCTCATTAACTGTTTAATAATTGTAAACAAAGCCGCCAAAGATTGAGAAAAGATGAACAGGCTCGTAAGTACTTGCGTAACTGCTTCGTGAATCTAGGTCCTGATTTGCCTAACTTTAAACCTGCAAACCCAACCAACCCACCTAACCTGTCGAGGCCGATGCGTGGTAGACGTTAATATTATGGGCTTGAATGGTTTTATTAGTACGGCGTATTTCTAGTTATCTCTAGTAGTCTAGATGTGATGGTCACGAATAATATATATACGAGAATCGAACGCGTACCTGCCCCCTTAACCTAGCAACAACTAAAGCAAGGATTGTGGTTGTTGTTGTTTCAGATTTAGCTACTCAGAACGAAGTGTCCATGTAGCACGGACTATGGTGATCCCGTAAACACTAGGATTGTGGTGCTGGAGGGTACCTTGTACACTCCAAGTAGGCTTGGTGGTATCACTGGTCGAGGTACCTCGCCCAGTCGTACCTGGACCAGTAAGTACCTCGCTCAGTGGTACCTCAAGTAAGTACTTTCAGCTCATCACGGTTCAGTCGGTAATGCATGTGTCTGAGGAGTCAGGTTCAGTATTGTTATTTCGTTTCGTAACTCTGTAACTGGGAAGATATTGAGGTTACACAAAGGACTCGAACGTCCGTCCCTGGACTCTCGAGGTACTTGCATACTGGACTATGGTAATGCGTGTCCCTGAGGAGATCAGGGACGCGGGTTCGATCCCATTGCACGACTTCAGTATTGTGTCATAATGTTATTCTTCATTAAAATGTAATTATTATGGCATATCTTTTCTTTCGTGGTGGTGGTGGTGGTGAGGTACTGGATGATCCGGCGGAAACGTGGATGGTCCTTGAAATAACGCAGCTGAAGCGGAGTTTCTTCAGGGTTCGACACCCATAACATGGTCGAGCTTCTCCCAACACCGGCACACCGGACTTGAAGCTTCCATAATGCTCCATAAAGCTTCAACACCCACAACACGTCCCAGCTTCAGTGACCGCCCACTCACCATGCACGAAGCTTCTGAGACATTCAAGAGAGTTACGATAGTCACAAATCGTCCGAACCTCTTCGAAACCCGCCACACAGGATTCGACGCTTCTGAAACATTCTATAATTCCGTGACGCAGCCCAGTGGAGGAGCCACAGAGACCTCCTTCACATCACCCTCGGAACATCAGGCAAAACTGAGAACCGTGAAAAATGACGCCACAGTTCTTGAAATAGATGCATCTTCGTCTCTTGAGGTTCGAAGAACGTCAGGAGGCGAGACGGGGAAAACCGTATGGCTGTCTAAGCCCTTCAGCCGACTGGAGAAGTCATCGAGCGAGGCGGAAGTCAAGCAAGACAACACTTACGATTCCTGGAACAACCGACACGTGGACGTCTTCCGAGCGAGATCACCGATACTGGAGTTCTTGGGGAATCCCAGCGCCCGCGGCGTCGACCCCAGTGACCACGAAGCGCGTCTAGAAGAAGCATCTAAAGGGCTTGGAGAGCCCCAAGACGATTTGCCTCCACCGAGAGGACGGGAAGTAGATGAAATGAGACTCACTGCCGCTGGGGCGATGTTTCTCAGCTGGGGTAAGACAGGAGATATACGAACAGCAACACGAAAAGCTTGTTTTATAATCACCAAATTCGTGCGCACTATTTGTGTTGGCACCCGTCTGTGTTTCTGCGAAAAACGAATGATTTTGTTTTGTTATTATGACACGCATTACTGTCTTTTGTCGTCTCACTGTGTATGTTAGCATGTAAACAATGATTAAACCACATTGTTACCCAAACCTCTTTTCGTCTTCGATAAAGCACGCAATTTAGATTTATTTTGTCACATATTAAATCTCTATACTCCCTCTTTCTCTCTCTATTCACTACTCACTAACAACTAAGTCTTCTAACCACAGACAACTACCTCTTCTCACCACAAACAAGCACCTCTTACTTTCCCCTTTTACTACAATCTAACATCGGTAGAGCGACGGTCTCGCTTCATGCAGGTCGGCGTTCAATCCCCCGACCGTCCAAGTGGTTGGGCACCATTCCTTTCCCCCCCGTCCCATCCTAAATCCTGATCCTGATCCCTTCCCAGTGCTATATAGTCGTAATGGCTTGGTGCTCTCTCCTGATAGTTCTCTCCCGTTCCCCTTTCTTTGCTTCGCAAATCTCCAACAGAATCCTACTCCCCCCCTCCTGCAGCAGACACCCTCCTCCGTCAGACAGTTCCTCCCCAAGACTGACCTCGTGGTTTTCCCCAACAGCCCAGTGCTTCGGAGGGACCCTGACGATGGAGAAGACGGTCGGGGTGGCTTTCAACGAGCCGTCTCAACCGCTGCTTAGCAAGCAGGACGCCGCCGTCACCAATGAGTGTAACAGCGTCTGCAAGAACAATCCCCAGTGCAGCGCCTTCTCCGTGGGTACGTAGAGAGAGAGAGAGAGAGAGAGAGAGAGAGAGAGAGAGAGAGAGAGAGAGAGAGAGAGAGAGAGAGAGAGAGAGAGAGAGAGAGAGAGAGAGAGAGAGAGAGAGAGTACAAAATGTATGAAAGGTGCAGAATTAAATGACGTGATGATAAGTGTTTCATATGTAATGCTTTGGCTATATCTAGGTTAGATATACCTGGTTGATCAGTCCAGCAACCAGGAGGCCTGGTCGACGACCGGGCCGCGGGGACGCTAAGCCCCGGAAGCACCTCAAGGTAAGGTAATCTGTCATCACACTATCTGTCGACTATTTCGATGTTGTTGGTCAAGATATCTCTTGTGTTGGTTTAGTTGTGACTACAAATAATGCGATTTATACTCGCAACTAAACGATAGTTTGATGATATAGTTTTGTTTAGTTCGTTCATAGCCAAGCACCTTGAAAGAGATTTTGTCGTCTTCCCTATATATGGAGATCATTGCAAGTGACAGTCCCCAAGTGGGCATGTAAATACATAGTCGACATTCATCTCTTTCAAGACGTTTGGTAGGAGGATATTTAGTTCTTCAACAGCAGGTCGGAAGTCTTTGTTTACTCTTGTAATAAGAAGACATGAGAAAATCCACCAGGGCTATGAGGTGGGCTCGAACCTACAACCATGCCACTGCCAAGCTGCATACTCTACCACTGGACCACAACAGACATTAAAAAAAGTCATACAACCGGATTTCTACTGAAATCACAGGAAGTTTGGAGGCTCCAACAGTCCAAGTTTCTTACGTATGACCCACAAGCACTCGGGTAGAGTGGCAGAGTGGCCCAACACCTTACTTCAGCACTTCAGAAACACACAGTAATCACATTAACATGATTTATACCAATAAGACTATCCACTACGACAATCAGGTGTGTTATTCTTGTAGTATATTGGGAACTGTAACTTCCATTTAGTATTGATAAAGGCTACGTTTGTGTAGGCGAGGAGTCACAATAACGTGGCTGAAGTATGTTGACCAGACCACACACTAGAAGGTGAAGGGACGACGACGTTTCGGTCCGTCCTGGACCATTCTCAAGTCGATTGTGAATGGTCCAGAACGGACCGAAACGTCGTCGTCCCCTTCACCTTCTAGTGTGTGGTCTGGTCATGCTACGTTTGTGGCCATATATGCCTTCATGACTCCGTCTTGAGGGCCGGATACAAGAGTTTAATAGATGGGACAGAGAATGGAAATCAGTGTAGATGGGACACATTGTAGATGGGGAATAAATGTAGATGGGGCAGATTGCGGAGTGTATACCTCTCCATCAGAGGAAACCTAACGGTTCCCCATCTTTACAATGACCTCATTAACGTGACAACATCCACTGTAAACAAGGACCTGTACACCTGAGTTTCCCGCCAACCGGCTGCCAGCTGGAGCCGGGTTATCTGTAGTTCACTGTTGAATTTAGTCAACATTGTAGGACCACTGTTGTAATTAAGTTAGCTAAACTAATTAGGTAAACACTTTGTTAACATCGGGCAGGGCACTTATTATCATAATTAACCTTTGGTTATAATTAACCTTTGTAATCATAATTAATCTTTGTAACCTAACCATATTAAGGCTGTATGGCTAGATGTCTGTAGTGTGAATAATCTCGAGAAGTGCACAGAGGAAACATTCGAACTCTGGGAAGATATGTTCGAGAAAACCTCGAATGTCATCAGCTGAAGCAGCCAGTTCTCGTATATAAAGATCCAAGCTCGTTAATACAGCCGCCAAACCCCGTTTATGAGCGAAGAGCGGTTTATACACGACTCACAACAGATGACGTCCGAACACTTCCGGAACAAGTACTTCGCTCACGTGCTCTGTTTGAACCCAGCCCGTCCTCCAAACAAAGACCCAAAAGTGATTTCATGCACCCGTCAAACCCCCAGTTGTTTATGAATGAAAAGCGGTTTACACACGACTCACAACTGATGACGTTCGAACACTTCCGGAACAAGTGCTTCACTGACGACTTGTGTTCGAACCACAACGCTGTAAATGCTTCACCCACGTACTACAAATACAAATAATCGCCAACAGAACCTAAACACCTAACCTAACCTATGCCTATATATGCACCATATGCTAGTATATTATAATATCAATTTATACTTGAGAAAATTCCCGTTTTGAATGAACAGCATGTTAAAATTTATGAATGCGTCTGTGGGGTCGACCGCTAAAGGTAATGGACTTGAGTCGAGGACGGGTTGTACCCACATACAAGGACAAGGATTCAAGGAGAGATTTAGAAGGACGGTTGGGGAGAGGAACTGATTGGGTAGACAGGAAGTGAAGCGGGAGCAAGAACCTACAGGAGACACCCACCGTGCATAGCAGGAAGAATGTATAGAATGAGAGAGAGAGAGAGAGAGAGAGAGAGAGAGAGAGAGAGAGAGAGAGAGAGAGAGAGAGAGAGAGAGAGAGAGAGAGAGAGAGAGAGAGAGAGGCAGGCAGGCAGGCAGGCAGGCAGGCAGGCAGGCAGGCAGGTAGACAGGCAGGCAGGCAGGTAGACAGGCAGGCAGGCAGGCAGGCAGGTAGACAGGCAGGTAGACAGGCAGGCAGGCAGGTAGGCAGGTAGACAGGTAGGTAGGCAGGCAGGCAGGCAGGCAGGCAGGTAGACAGGCAGGCAGGCAGGCAGGCAGGTAGACAGGCAGGCAGGCAGGTAGACAGGCAGGCAGGCAGGCAGGTAGACAGGCAGGTAGACAGGCAGGCAGGCAGGCAGGTAGGCAGGTAGACAGGTAGGTAGGCAGGCAGGCAGGCAGGCAGGCAGGTAGGCAGGTAGACAGGCAGGCAGGCAGGCAGGCAGGTAGACAGGTAGGCAGGCAGGCAGGCAGGCAGGCAGGCAGGCAGGTAGACAGGTAGGCAGGCAGGCAGGCAGGCAGGCAGGCAGGCAGGCAGGCAGGCAGGCAGGCAGGCAGGCAGGTAGACAGGCAGGTAGACAGGCAGGTAGACAGGCAGGCAGGCAGGCAGGCAGGCAGGTAGACAGGTAGGTAGGCAGGCAGGCAGGCAGGTAGACAGAAACAGAGACCCCCAATAAGACAGAGGTCTATCCCAAACTATCCAAGAGGTTCTCCATACTCTCACTAAATCACTAAACAAAGACAGAGCCACCAGACGCACACCACCATTGAATAATCACCCATCGCCGAAGCGATCCGTCGAGTTCCCCCTCACCGTGACGGACCCTACAGCACCAGCAGCAGCAGCAGCTGCACCAGCAGAGAGATCCCCAACCTTGCCTACACACGCCCCAGTAGTTCCGACGGAAGTACACCCTTCCTCACGCATTCCTCACTCCAAGAGCAAACGTTCCCATCCCATTTTTAGCTTCGTTATTGCACCCATTCCTTTGGGATTTCAATGAGAGGACTGAATTCACTGAATATCAATACTCCTTTTCAATTTGGGATTCCGGAGAGTAAATTATAATAGTTGTGGTTATTTGGAAGGCCTGTGAGGACAGGATAGGAAGTGAGATATGAGGCCAAGGAGCTGGGGTATGAGGACAAGGAGCTGAGATATGAGGACAAGGAGCTGGGGTATGAGGCCAAGGAGCTGGGGTATGAGGACAAGGAGCTGAGATATGAGGACAAGGAGCTGGGATATGAGGCCAAGGAGCTGGGGTATGAGGACAAGGAGCTGAGATATGAGGACAAGGAGCTGGGATATGAGGCCAAGGAGCTGGGGTATGAGGACAAGGAGCTGAGATATAAGGACAAGGAGCTGGGATATGAGGCCAAGGAGCTGGGATATAAGGCCAGGGAGCTGGTATATGAGAAAAGGAGCTGGGATATGAGGCCAAGGATCTGGGATATGAGACCAAGGAGCTGTGATATAAGGACAAGGAGCTGGGATATGAGGCCAGGGATCTGGGATAAGAGGACAAGGAGCTGGGATATGAGGCCAAGGAGCTGGGATATAAGGCCAGGGAGCTGGTATATGAGAAAAGGAGCTGGGATATGAGGCCAAGGAGCTCGGATCGACAACAAACGTCATCTCAGGACTTCCTTCAAAATGGATTTTCATTTCCCCAATGATGGATAATTCGTGTTGTACTGATATGACCTGCGTTGCAGAGGATAGTTCTATAGTTACTATCCCTTACAGCATACTCCAACCTCCCCCCCCCGTCGTGGTTCCCTAACCACAACAACCTATCCTTACTGCTCTTGATGGACCCTCCCAACATATCCGGCTCACCCACTATCCCCACTATACCTCATCCAAGCATCCTCATACTCCCATCCAATTTCGTCCTCCCAGCCCTCCTCTCCCTGACGTCTCACGCCAATTGAGGTCAAAAGACTTTACTAATTGTTGGTTCCACTCGTATAGTTGATTGTGTTAAAGGTTAAGAGGTTTATGAACCTCTGGAGGGTTATTAAGGCCCCATCAATATCCAGAAGAATTTTAATGTTTTTTAAACTAGTCTACTGACTAGCCAGTAAGTATACTTTAGTCATGAATATTGTCCAGGACCTAAGTAAACTCTCAGTGTATAGTCACAGAGAAACTGGGTGAATATATATATATATATGTCGTACCTAGTAGCCAGAACGCACTTCTCAGCCT